TCCGTTGCCGGTCACGAAAAAAGACAAAAAGGAAAAAAAAAAAAAGAAAAGTGAAAATCAAAACCACAAGGACATACAACTTCACAACTTCTAGAATGGTTGTATATTATGTACAAAGTATCTTCAAAATTTCATGAAAAGAGTCATATTATCTTTTAATTCCATTTTCCACAAAAGTTTTGAAGTACCCTCGTAAATAAAAAGACATCCATGTTCATGGAATAAGAGATTTAACATTGTTAATTAAGTTGGCAATATTCCCCAAATTGATCTACAAATTCAATACAGCCCATATAAAAATTCCATCTGCTCTTTTTGTACAAATGTACAAGCTAATTCTAAAACACATGAAATTGCAAGGGACCTTGGATAGCTGAAACAATATTGAAATAGAGGAACAAAGTTGGAAAATTCATACTTTCAAATTTCAAAAATTACTATAAAGCTACAGTAATCAACATAGTGTGACACTGGCATAGCAATATAGACATATAGATTAATGGAATAGAATTGAGAATAATAGTGGATCTACACATTTATGGTCAATTGATTTTCAACAAGAGGCCAAGATCATTCAATAAGGAAACAATGGTCTCTTCAACAAATGGTATTGCAATAACTGGATATCCACATGCAAAAGAATGAATGTTTACTTGTACCTCACACTATATAAAAAATCAACTCAAAAGAAATCGAAGACCTAAATGTGAAAGCTATAACAGTAAATTCGTAGAAGAAACCACAAGTATAAATCCTTGTAACCTTGGTTTAGGCAATATTTTTTTAAAATATGACACCAAAAACAAAAGCAACAAAAGACAGAAGAGATAAATTTGACTTTATGAAATTTAAAACTTTCATGCATCAAAGAACGTATCAAGAAAGTAAAAAGACACCACAGGAATGGAAAAATATTTGCAAAATATATATCTGACAAGGGTCTACTAATTTTAAAGTGCTTATTAAAAAGCAAACTCTGTTTGGAGAAGGCTTTCAGGGCCCTGAATATAATAACAGACTCATTACCTTCTATTTGTCATGGAAAAACAGAAGATTAACAGTTTTGGCTAAGTAACTGTAAATAAATTAGAACACAAATCTAAACTTAAATTATTTCTATTCAGGGCCACATAGATAATAGTTACACTACCAAACATCTTAATGTTTTTTTTTTTTTCCACTCATATTTCTCGATGGCATATTATATACAATATGGAACCCTATTTATTCTAGGGATTTCTTTGTAGATCATTTTTTTATCTGAAAGCATATGAATAATACTCCTTTCTTAAAAGATATTAAATATATGGGTGTGTGTGCAGGAGTGAATAAAGAGGAAGGCCCAAGAAGAATTACTTTTAAAACCTCCTTTTATTTATTCCAGATATCCAGATGTATAACAGCTTCCTTCAGTTTGTTCTTCTAAATATCTCTGGAGCCATCTTTATGAGCTTCAGATTCATTGCCACTATTGCATTTCAACTCTCAAAATAACACAGTTTAAATAACTTAAATAATAACTTTAGTTTAAAATATTAGACCTCTAACCTATCTTTCTGACTCCAAACATCTAAAATCCCATTCTCAACACATTTAACAGAGCAATTTTTCTAAAATAAAAATTGAATTACATAGATTTTTAGGTTAAACAAAGAAAAAAAAAACCTCATGTGAACCACTTGCTTCAAAGTCACCTACAGTCCATGTTTCCAGAATGTACTGCAGGTGAATTAAAAATATATTTTAGGGATTAGATCATGGAATTAGTATTTAAATAAACTAAGCAGGTGAGTGATTCTTATTCACTCTAAATTTTTTAGGTCTGTAGGCCTGAAATACATATTAAGTTCTACTATATTTCAGGACATACAAACTTTTCATGATTTAAAGCCTGTCTTTTTAAAAAATTTTTTTTTATTACCTTATTGTATATTATCCCAACTAAGGCAAACTTTTTCCCCCAAGGGAAGTTGACATTCATTGAGAATAGAGTTAGGGACAGATGTAGATCCAGAATTACCTTATACGCACTGCTTCTTTTCATTTTCAAATAACTTTGTAAGGTAAGAATTATTATTATTATTATTATTATTATTATTACTATTAGGATTATTACATATATTTTATAAATAGAGAAACTTAGCAACACAGACTTTGAGAAAGTGGATCAGGCTTAAATGTATGTCTGGATGAATCAAGAGTCTATTCTCTGAATTACCATGTTAGTGATACTAGTTAGTGACATTTGTAGTACTTCCTAGTACCCAGAGGTTGCATATGTTGTCATGCCCATGTCGATAACATTCTCTTAGTTTCTTTTCTATATATCAAAAGTCTCACAAGAATTGCCTTTCTGAACTGCATGTATGACTCACTAAAAAATTAAGTGCCCATTATTATTTCCCCACAGTTCTGTGTATAACTCTATCATAAATCGAGTTACACCATTATATTGTTACTGGTTTTCTCATTTGTCCCCCCCCCACTTTTAGCTGTGTAATCTTAATGAAAGATAAAACTGTATGTCTAGAGTAGTACCTGGGATAGAGTTGACCTATAATAAATGGATGTTGAATTAAAGCATTAACTAAGTACATTTAATCAGACAAATTAATATATATGGTAATATGTAATTAAATATAGGTTGTTTTGGAGAGGTCTTGTTTTGTTGTTACAAGAGAGTGAGTGTCATGTCTCGGAGAGTAAATGAAATTTAACATTTTTGTTGAAACTTGAAGAAAGGACTTTTAGGATAACACACAAAGGAGTATTAGTCATAAAGAGAAGTAGAAAAGGTGTATTATGCTGAAAGGTTGGTTAAAATGTTACGAGAAGTTTAATTAATTCAAGGACAAATTAAGTTAACTTAAAACATGAATAAAATTTTATTTACTTTTTTCTCCAAGATTTTAAAATTATTTTTTGTTCATTTTTTGAAAGAAAAAAGATCTTTTGTAATGTATCCTTGAAAGCTTGTTTCACTTGCTGGTTCCTTAGCGTGTAAATGAAAGGGTTTAACAAGGGTGCAATGGAGGTATAAATAACAGCTACAACCTTGGATGTAGTCACTCTTTCCTTTACTGATGGCTTCAGGTAAATAAAGATACAGCTACCGTAAGTAAGGGAGACTACAATCATGTGAGAAGAACAAGTGGAAAAAGCCTTTGTCCTTTTCTGAGCAGAGGACATTTTTAGAATGGTCTTGATAATATATACGTAGGAAAGAATCACTAACAGCAGTGTGGTCACCAGAGTTACAACAGCTGACACAAATGCAATCAGTTCTAGAAAATGAGTGTCTGTGCAAGAAATTTGCAGGATAGGGGATGTGTCACATATGAAATGATCAATTACTTTGGAAGCACAGAATTCCAGTTTCAGTCCCATAACCAGTGGTGGGAAGGTAATCAGAAAGCCAGCTGCCCATGAACTGAGTACAAGCTGGTAGCACACTTTGTTGCTCATAATGATCGGGTAATGTAGAGGTTTGCAGATTGCTAAATAGCGGTCAAAAGACATGGCAGCCAGTAGGTAAAATTCGGTAACTCCTAATAAGAGAAAAAAGAATAACTGCGATGCACAACCATTGTAGGAAACGATTTTGTTTTTAGTCACAATGGTTATCAGGAATCTGGGAATACAGACTGTTGTCAATGAGATTTCCAAGAAGGAGAAATTTTGGAGGAAGAAATACATTGGAGTTTTGAGGTGTGGATCCAGCAGGGTAAGGAGGATGATAGATAAGTTCCCCATCACACTCAACACATAGTTTAGGAAGAGAAACATAAAAATTACAATTTGCAGTTTGGGGTCATCTGTCAATCCCAGAAGAATGAACTCTATCTCCCTCGACTGATTCTTCATTTCAAATTTGAGTCCTATTGAATAGACATAGCAAAACAACTCCAAAGGCAGAAATAACAAGATTTTTTTAAAGCTACAGACATAGAAAACAATGTAATGTAAACAATGTAATGTAAACAAGTTTAAAATGTATATCTAGTTTGATAAGGCATACAATACCTAAAATTATAGCATAAATCAACTAAGCATCCTCCAATTGATTGCTCCATTTAAGCCAAAGTTATCTTTACAATACTAATTTCTTTCTTTTTCCCCCTCTCAACTTGAAAGGTAATTTAATTTTTGGCTTATCATTTCCAAATAAATCTTGCTTAAATGTTTTAAATGGAGAAATCACAAATATTACTTAAAATGTATTTTCTGTGTATATTTAATAAAGTACTGAAAAAATCTAGACAATTCTATTGATGGCAGTTTCCAAGGATTATTAAAAAATCTTTAGCCCACCAAAAGACTTTTAAAATCTTTTTAAGGAACACGTAGAAATATTAATAGTTACATATTTTCTCTTTGATTATAATTCTCTAACACATGCCATTAATTTCTTGCCCCACTGTAGATTTTCCTTTAATTATTAATTTTCTCTGGTTTTAAATACTTCAATCTTCTCATAATCAGTTGCATTACACTTGTTCCTGTATAATCAGGAACTATTACATCTACAGAAAAATAAAATAAATGTATTAATTTTCTCTGGTTTTAAATACTTCAATCTTCTCATAATCAGTTGCATTACACTTGTTTCTGTATAATCAGGAACTATTACATCTACAGAAAAATAAAATAAATATGACAATTCACATATCAGTGAAAATTATGTGGCTTTTACTGCAGAATTGCTTTCATTTATGCTCTAGATATTTATTTCAAGGTACAAATGACTTACCGTATGCAAGATATATTGGAATAATTTTCACCCTATAGGAATATGGCAGAATCAAGAGTTGAATAATAAATGACAAATATTCTCATTTTTTAATGTTATAAAATATTCAATTATTTCAAGAGGAAATTTAATTCCAATAATTATCTTGAGAAGGGTTCAAAGTAGAAAACATTTGGGAAATTATATGCATGTGCTGATACTTTGCACTTCTATTCATACTTACTAAAATCACAGGCCCCAGATGTTACACAAAGTTCAATTAGAATCCTCTTTCATACCAGATATGATTCATATTTTGTTTTTTCCCTTAAATTTAAACAGAAAATAATTTTGCTCGTAAATGACTCAAGGGGATTAATTGAAATACAAAGAAGAAAGAAAAAAATTCCCCTGGAGACTGGTGTTCAAAACATACAAGTTGATTACAGAAACAGAAGGAAAAAGAAAAGAAAACAAACAAACAAAAAAAAAACCCCCCAAGGAAATAACAAAAACTTTGTGAATCGCTTTTTTTTTTTTTTTTTGTCTTTTTCCGTGTCCGGCAACGGATCGCAACCCTCAGTGTCGCCCCCGTACCGGACCAGGACCGGCAACGGGATCGCAACCCTGTGAATCGCTTTTAACTACAAAGCTGAAGGGCCATTCTCCCAAAAGACGGCTAGAGATTACTTAAACTCCATACAGAATACCTACAAGAATTCAAATATTCCATTGTCCTGGGACAATTCTACTAGTTTACCCCAAATAGGAAATGGGAACCTCTCTTCTGCTTCCATTATGAAATGTATTAGGATTTCATTAATTCGATTGTTATTTGCCTCAAAATTGGTGGTGGTGGGGGGGGGGATCAGTACTTAAGTGGTTGCTATTTAATTTTTATTTTGAAACAACCTAAACTTAAACGTTACAAAAACACATTGTTACTAAAAGTTACACAAACATTGTTATTCCTGAGCAATTTGATGCTCTATCTCCTGACCAGTAGAGTATAGTTACTACAGAAAAGAATATGTATTATTACATAACCACAATGCAACCATCAATATCAGGACATTAACATCGATACAGTGATAATACGTAAATCTTCAATCCTGTTCAAGTTTACCAATTGTCTCAGAATTGTCCTTTATAGGAAAAAAGATACACTTCAGAATTACATGATGTCTCTGTAAGGCAAGATTAGATTGAATTCATTAACGTTTGGAAAAAATACCACAGAAGTGAAACTTCATTTCACTGAATGCTATCAGGCATCAAACTATTTCTTTTTTTTTCTTTTTTTTTTTTCGTTACTAATAATGTTTTCTTTGACTTATTGATTAATGTAGCAATTTGCAGACTTCTACACAATAGAGCTACTTTTATCTTTGTAATTAATAAGTATTTTGATATTTTGAATACTATACAAATATCTCAATATTTTGAAAACTTTCACCTTATAGATTAATTATGTCATTATAGAATCATACTTTCCAATTTTACTCATTGCTATCATTAATTATTTTGATGCTCAGTTTCTCCCAGTTTGGCCAGTGTAGGTCCCTTCAAACTTGTTCCTTTTCCTCAAAACTAGAGTGTTCACCAGGGCTCCTCTGATGCACCTTATCTTTTTCCCTGGATGCATGAAACAGTCAAAAATACTGAGTATTTACTCACTTTCTGAGCCATCACTTCTTAACCAGCAATTCCCTCAGGGAAAACAGGACCCAAAGACCAATTTTATTTTCCTGGATCTCTATACCCTGTGTACTGTCCTGGTAATTCTTTCTTATATTACCTCTCTATTGTCAAGCACACGTTTTTTTTTTTTTTTTCATATTTCCCATCTGTTCCAGTTGTTCTCCGTGTATGGATTATAGATATTTCTAAGTTTTCTGAATTACTTTCTTCATAGTGATGTTAATTACATTTTCCTAACCAAAAATGAGGTTAAAACTCATCTTCTGATGTTTCAAGCACTGAGAAGTATGCCGGTTTTATGTAGGTGGTTTATTTATTTATTATGGTTTTGTAGGAGATTTACATATAATATGTATATATATTGCATATCCTAATCATTCCTGGCTGCAGTTATTGCCTCTTGTGACATACTTTTTCTCATTTTATAGTGTATTGCGGAACTAACTTTCATAGCTAATTTTCTGCTTAAAATGCCTTTAAACTCTAATTCTTAAATAATGATTTTGCCAAATATAAAAATCTAATCTGGAAGTTGTTTTTCTCTCCGTATTATTAAGATATCATTAAACTGTCTTTGTATCATGAGGTTGTTGTTGGATATTTCTTTTCCATGTGTAACTAATCTATCTTTACTTTCTGGCTGCTCTGAAGATCTCTTTATCCTTGTGGTTTCAACAATTACACTACGATTTGTCTACTTACAGATTTCTTTCTATTTAACTTGTTTGAAATTTATTTTGTTTCATAAAAATGCAAACTGGTGTTTTTAATGAATTCTGGAAAATTAGCACCCATTTTCTCTTTTTAAAAAACAAGTATTGGGCCGAGACCGTGGCGCACTCGGGAGAGTGCAGCGCTCCCGCCAAGGGTTTGGATCCTAGCGGGTTCGGATCCTATGTAGGGATGACCGGTGCGCTCACTGGCTGAGCGCGGTGCGGCCGGTCTCAAAAAAGACAGAAAAAGGGCTGGCCTGGTGGCGCACTGGAGAGTGCGCCGCTTGTAAGCGCAGCGGCGCTCCCACCGAGGGTTCAGATCCCATGTGGAGACCAGTTGCCGCTCACTGGTTGAGCGTGGTGCGGGTGCAGCACCAAGGGTTACGATCCCATTACCGGTCAGTAAAAAAGACAAAAAAGGAAAAAAAGAAAAGGACAGAAAAAAAAAAAAAAAGTATTAATTATTTTTATATTTATCTTCATGGGATACAATGTGAAGTTTCAATATATGCATATACTGCACAATGATTCACTTAGTGTAGACAGCATAGTTTTGCACCCTTTGGTTCACTACTTATCCTTCCCTGAATCCCTCCCCCTCCCAGTCTCTGGTAAACACTTTACAACTGTCTACTTCTAAGAGAAACCGCCCCGCCCCCCTCCCACCCTTTCTTTATATTCCACATATGAGTGGGACCATGTGGTATTTGTCTTTCTGTGCCTGATTACTTCACTTAACATCAGGGATTCCAGTTCCATCCATGCTGCTGCAAGTGATAGCATATCAATTACTTTTATAGATGAATACTATAGGTTTTCTTGTCCATTCATCATTGACGGACATTTAGGTTGATTCCATTTCTTGGCTATAGTGAATAACGTTGTGATGAACACGCGAGTGCAGGTGTCTTTTTGATATATAGATTTCACTACTGTTAAGTATATATAGCAATTGCTTTATATAACTGGCTGTTCCAGAGTTGGGTGCATATAAATTTAGAAGCATTATATCCTCTTGTTTAGTTGATCCCTTTATTATTATATGAAGACCTTCATTATCTTTTGACACTTTCCTTGGCTTGAAGTCTATTTTATAGAGATTCTTGCGGGCAGCATGTTATTAGTTCTTGTTTTATAATCCATTGAGCCACTTTGTGTCCTTCAATTGAGGCATTTAATACATTTACATTTATAGTTATTATTGATCTATAGGGACTTGTTACTACCATTTTGTTACCTTTTTTCTGGTTGTTTTGTTGATACTTTTTTTCCTTTTTTGTGATCTTACTGTCTTCCTTTGTAATTGAATGGTTTTCCCTAGCACTGTATTTTGATTTCTTGCTCTTTATTTTCAGTGTGTCTCTTACAAGTTGTTGTTTTACGGTTACCATGAGGCTTACAAAAAAATGTTATACTTAGATTATTTTAGACTAATAACAACTTAATTTTGATAACAAAGAAAAAGAAATAATCAAAGCCAACTCTACACTTTGGCATTACCCTCCTCCCCCAAACTTTTTGATAATTTGTCATTTCAAGTTACACTTTTTAATATTGCTTATCTCTTATATGGTTATTTTATTTGTTGTTTTTTTACATTTGTACTTTAGTCTTCATATTCAGGATGTAAATAGTTTATTCAACATCCTTATGACACTGGAGTGTCCTGAGGTTGTCTGTGAATTTACTTTACTAACGAGCTATGTACCTCCGAATGTTTT